GTCTGGTTGGCCAGGCTGGAGCTGGTCTGAAGTTGCTAGATAAGCAATAGACAGTCCCTGAAACGAGCAGGAATAGATGAAGGCCAAAAGCAACTGGTGCCTGAGTGGTCAGGGCACCAGTTTGGGCAGGAGGCCTTCAGAGTATGTGGGCTACCCAGGACCACAGGGGGTTCCAGTCTTTGTAGCGAAGGTTGTGGAGAGGTTATGGGCAGACAGGCTAAAGGTTACAGAGGGACAGTGCTCTGTACCCATAGCTGAGGCAGGGTCACCATGTGTGCTCGCACCCACCCTACCAGCCCATCATTTTGGCAAAAATGACAGAAATATCTGCAATATCTCTCCAGTGCCTTCAACTGGTTTAACTACTCGCTCATTTTAAAAGCGAAATCTTAAAAAAATTCTATTATTTAGCACAGAGCATATATTGAAATGTCTATTTGGGACAGAAAGGTAATAAATGGCTGACAACTGAATGCCAGCTTATTAAAACATTCGAGCTAGGGGCCAGCAGGTGGCATGGTGGTTAAGACACTGGACTCCCACAGGGCCAGGTGCAATTCGAGTCCAGACTGGAGGCTTGTTTTGTCACTTTCTCCCTCTCTGCCTCTATGGTGAATGCATGTGCTTTATAACAAAATTTTAAAAAATAAATAAATAAAATCTTAAAAAAAACAAGCTAAAAAATAATATAAAACTGAAGTAAAAATTTAAGTTTTATTTCTGAAAGGCACAAAATGAGAAGGAAGAATCTCATTTTCTCTCCCCAAAGGCAAAAACCATATTTCCTGTGATCCTTCTAGAAAAAGAAAGAGTGCATTTACATACATACGTGTCAACGTTATAATTTATACGAAGAGCTCATTTTCCTTTACACCAAGCATTTTTTCATTTAACGTAGCAAAAATATTTCCATATCACCACATCCAGATCTACTTTATTCTTTTTAATTGCTATGTAGTATTGTATCACAGGGATGGTAGATAATTGTGCACTGTTGATGGACATTTTGGATTTTGCTTTAAAAAAAATTCCAAGATTTCTGTGTATATATGTGTGTGTCAATTTCAAAGGTATAATGGAACCATATCTAAGTTCTATTTTTAAAAATTGACAGTGGGACACATGCACTTGCCAGAGACAAGTGACACACAGAGAGAGAAAGCGGCATGGGGTGTGGACACACTGCACTCTCTTTTCTTCCATTTCTCTATCTTGTCAGGATTCACATGCACGCACATGCACCTGGTATGTTTTTCAGACTGCTGGGACTAGGAGTCATATGGCAGTCAGCCATGTGGCATCTAGCTCCCATAACCACTAGGCAACTGGCCCAGCCTTCTAAAGTCTTTGCTATGCAAAAGAATGTATATCTTTTAAATTTTGACACTCTTTTTCAAATTAACCTGCAGTAAAATAGCATTGGTTTATAATATCCTCCCACTGAAAGTGGATAATAGTACCCTTACCTCACATTACTGCCAGCACTGGAAAGACCTTATACCAGTTTGATAAATGAAAAAAAAAAATAATAAAACATTTTTTTCACTATTTTGATTTGCATGTCTTTAATTATACCTGAAATAAAGCATCTTTCCGTGCTCATATGTTTACAGTCTTTTGAATTTGTTTTTCTACAAAACTTTTCTATCCTTTACACAATTTTCCATTGGGTTGTTCATTTTTTTCATATGTATTTATATCAGTTCTATTTAAGTAAAAGAAAAGAGCACTTTGACAAATGTTTTATTTTTCTTGTTTTTGAACTTAGTCTTTTGACTTAGTTTTTTTTCCCCCTTGTTTTTTCTTACCAAAGCTAGATTGCTACTTAGATAAACATATTTATTTTTCCCTTTATAGCTTCTGGGTTTTAAAGCCTTCTCAAGAAAACTTTCACCTTTCTTATGTTAGTAATAAATTAACCCACATTTTAAGGTTTTTTTAAAAGAATTATTTATTTAACTTTGTTTATTTCAATTTGACTGGAGAGAGACAGAGTGAGAGAGCAAGAGAGAGAGAAAGCAAGCCACCAGGTTCAGGACTTGAATCGTGGTCAGCCATATGGGAGTCCAGCGTCCTCAACCGCCACACCACTTGTCAGCCCCCACATTTTAAGATATTTTATGATTCATGGTTTCACATTTGAGTATTTGGTTTATCTGGAATTGATACAGGTGTGAGGACTGAATAAGGGTCTGAGCCTTGGTTTCTCAGTGGGTACTAACCAGCAGTGCCTTTGTCATTTATTTACTCACCTCTCTTTTGCCATGTGATCAGAAATCTCACGTTTACAGTAAACTAAATTCCGTAGACTTCTGAGTGTATTTCTGATTTTTCTTCGATTCTGTTCATTTCTTCTTATATCAAACTGTTTTTTTGATTGCAGTTTCCAAGTACGTTTTGATATCAACCTAGAATGGAGTGGACAGAGAAGATCTTGCTGACAAGGTAACCTTGAGGCTGACGTTTGAAGAATAAGAAGTAACCAGTTTCATGGAGATGGGGGCAGGAGCATTCCAGGTAGAGAAAGTTGCATGCACAAAGGTTGGGAGGCAGAAAACAGTGTGGCATGTTTGAAGGAACTGAAAAAGGACAGTATAGTGAGTACCTTAAACAAGGAAGAGAAAGAAGATTGTGAGATGGGGTTAGAATGCTGGGCTAGGGAACCAGCAGTTAGCGTAATGGCTATGTCGCTGGACTCCCACGTAGTCGACTGCGGTTCGTGTCCCGGACCCGGTGGCTTAAAACTCACACCGGGCGCGTGTGCGTGCGTGCCCAAGATCCCGAGAGGAGAATGGAGGAGAAGGGATTGCAGCGTGACCATCCCCCCTGGGTGGTGATTTCTCGCTTTCTGTCTCTATGTCTCTCTCTGTCTGTCTGGCGAGCGCACGCGCCCTACAGTGAAAATCTCTCAAAAAAAAAAAAAAAAGAATGCTGGGCTAGATTTTGCAGGCCCTTGCAGACCATGGCAAGAATCTTGGTTGTGTTGTAAGCACAAAAGGGAGAAGCGGATGCATTTTAAATTGGGAAGAACATGCTCCAGTACTCCAGAGCCCCAGAGTATGATATTGTCACGCTCACTGATATGTGGAAGGTGGGTGGGAAAAGAGCACGAGGTGCAGAAAGGAGGCCAGGTTAGAGGTTGTTGCATGTTCCAGGCCAGAGGTGGTGGGGGCAGGCTACAGTGATGAAGAGAAAAGGACTCATTGCGGGCACATTTTGGAGGTGGAAACAACAAGATTTGGTGGTAGACTGAGTAGGATGAGGTATCCTACTAGTAGGAGGGACCATAGCTGGTTCCTAGGTCTCCTCTTTTCCTTTCGTATCTTTCTGGACTATGTATGTTTGTCCACCTCATTATGTATATGTTTTAAAATGGAAACATGGCAATGTTTTAGGGAGGGGTGGGGGATTCTTAAAAATACCATATTTGAGGTTATTTTTGTTATAAAGCCTCAGAAAGTGATACTATTTGTTGAGCGAGACAGACTTAGGAGAAACAGGTTTGGGAGTGAAGTAGAGGGAGCTATCAAGAGGGGGCTGGGAGCTCAAGTGTTAAAATGTTAAATTTGAGAAGTCTGAGAAACCCAAAAGCAGATAGCAATGAGGTAGTTCAATACATGGATCTGGAGACATCCAAGTGGAGACACCAAGCCACAACCGAATGCTATTTAGAGTTGTAGGAATAGGAGTGTTTTAGACTGACTACTGGGTTGCTAATAATAGAAATATCTGAGTCTGGGTAATTTATAAAAAATAGAGACTTATTTAGCTGGTCCAAGGAGCAGCTAAATTTAGGAGGTCCAAGGTCAGGGAGCCACATCTAATGAGGGTCTTCCTATTAGTGGTGTCTAAGGCAGTGCAGGACATCATATGATGAGGGCAAAAGCAGAGCAAGAACACATGTGTCTGTGGTCTGTGTCCACATGTCTATACGTGTATATGTGCGTGTATTCTCTCATTTTAAACCCATCAGGAGTCAATTATTGGGGCTCTATTCTGATGACCTCAACCCTAATCACTTCCCAAAGTCCCTATCTTCCAACACCATTGTAGGATTAAGTCTCTACCCACTCAACACCATTACAATCCCGCACCAAATTTCAGTGTGTGAATTTTGGTGGGATGCATCCAAACCATAGCAGGTGAGATGATGAAGAAGGAAGAGAGTGTGGAAAAATGAAGAGAAGAGCCTGGAACTGAGCCTTGAGGAATGCCAGCATGTAGAGATGGGTGCGGGAGAAGGGGTCAGGGAGAGGCAGCAGGAAGAATGGGAGGGCTCAGCCTTAAAACCCTCCTCCCAGTCCTTCATGGGCATCCACTGCACTGAGTATGCAAGCTGGGCTCTTACCTTTTGCAAGGCCCTGCTTAATCTGGCTGGCATCTCCTCCCTGAACCCCCACTTCAGCTGTAGCTACTCCCAGCCTCAGTCACCTTCCTTAGGGCCTTTACAATGGTATTCTTGCTTCTCTGCTTAGAAAACCACCTTAAATCCTTTATTACTTGCATGTGGTTAATATCCATCCTCAAAATGCTGTTTTATTGAGAGGGTATTCATTTATTTCTTCAGGAGAGAGGGACAGAGAGAAAGAGAGAGGACCAGCCCCATGGCTCAGTGGCTAAGGGACCCAGACCCCACATGGTCAATCAGGATTTGAATCAGGGGCCTAGTGGCTTGAAAAACATATCAAGTGTATGTGTATGTGTGTCAAAATCCCAACGGACTGAAGAAACAGAGGAAAGGCATTGCAGCATAACCATGCCCTATCAGGGGTGATTTCTTTCTCTCTCTCCTTCTGGGGCATGCATGTGCCCTCTGACAAATACATACATGCATTCATAAACATGTAACATTTCTAGGTGTTTAAAAAGAGAGAGAGAGAGAGACCCCTAACCAGGGTCTCAGCAATCCTCTCAGTCTTCTAGCCCAGCCAGGATTACAGGCAAGTGAGTACATGCTTCGAGTGTACCAGTCAACCCAAGACGAATCCTAGATGGGAGAAGCTGATCCCTTCCCACCTATCTAGAATACTTTAAAGAAACAAGACCCCACACTGGTTCACAAAATCCAAGTGCAGAGGTAGTGGACTCCTGGCATGGGCTGGCCACAGGCTCCATGTGGTCCAGTCTTCCAGATAGATTCAGCATTGCCGAGTGGCATGCCACTGCTGAGCCACTGTGGCTAGCCCAGCTCCCCCCATGACATTCTATCCCGGTGTCTTACCTGTTTCCTTTACCATGACTCAGACATAACCATGTGCTAGTTTATATAGGCCAGTCAGCTCCATTACAGTGGAGATAGCTCCTTCTTTATCCCTTTTCATATCCTTATTACTGACATAGGTCTAGTAAGCAGCAGGCATACAATACATGTGACTCACATAAATGAGCAAGCCCCTTTTAATCTTCATCATGACCTTTATTATTTATTTTAGAGAGATTTTTGCCAGAGAGACAGAAAGCAAGAAATCTCCCTCCGGGGGATAGCCACGCTACAATCCCTTCTTCTCCATTCTCCTCTCAGGATTTTGGGCATGTTCGCACATACACCCGCCATGAGTTTTAAGCCACCAGGTCTGGGACTCGAACCACAGTAGATGATGTAGGAGTCCAGTGATGTAACTATTACACCATCTGCTGGTCCCACTTCACCATGGCCTTTAAAGTCGCAATTTTAGTCCCTCATTTCCTCCCCTTTTTTAAAGCAATTGAGGCCATCAGTCTCAGAATGAGTAGGTGATTATTCACAGATTGCAGCATAATGAGTTGTGATGTATGGATTAAAACAGGAGAGGACTTAAAAAAATTGAAAAATGGAATTAAAATTTGAACTTATTTTGATGCAAAATTTTAAAAAAAAATTGTGCATATTTTTTTTCCAGACTATGCGTTTTCCATGAACTTTTTGTAGAACCCAGTATTAGCTCCAGCACCCAGACCACCTGAAGGATAGGATTGGCCACAATCCGATCCCCCTGGTTCCAGTTCCTGGTGAGCCTCAGGACTGTCCAGGCACAGACCCAGCAGAGGGCAGCAGAGGGCCGCAAAAGACTATGATTCCGGGAGAGTGAGGTGCCCTGAGCGCCCGAGGGCCTGGGGTTGGATTCTGTCTAGCCCTTTGTTGGAATCTAACTTGTGCTGCTGGAGAGCTCAAGGCAAGTTTCCTGTCTGTTCTTGGAGGTGCTGATTCTTACCACCTAGAGTACGAGGAAGCCATCTTACTGCGGCCCTCTCTTTGGAAAAGACAATAGTCACTCCAGGGGGAAGGGAAGGAGAGTCCCTGAGGTGGAATGGAGAGCTAGAAAGTATGAATGCTTTCTGTGGCCTCCACTGCTAGAGGACACGCCTCTGGAGACTGTTCTGTAGAGCAGGGGGTAGTAAGGTGGTGTTACAGTTAGAGACCATCAGGGGCATGGGAGGGGCTCAAAGGCAGATAGGATTTGGGAGCACTATTAGGAGGTAATTACTGGCTTAGGGGCACCACTGTCAGAAAAAATAACTTTGTATCTTTCTTATGCTCTCTGAATTGATTTCCTTCCTGGTCTCCTTTTTTGTTAGTAAAGTTGTTTTTAAAATATCCAGCCTATTCCAGCAGGTGGCATGGTGTTAAGGTGCTGGTCTTGCACATGGTGTACCATGATTTGAGTCCTGGACTCAGCAACTTGAAAATCATGCCAGGTGCGTGTGTGTGCATATCCAAAACCTGGAGAACAGAATGAAGAACAAGGGCTTGTGGCATGGCTATCTTCCCTGGGGAGTGATTTCTCACTTTCCCTCTCTCTGTCTCTCTTGGGTGAGTACACCAACCTGTGGCAAAAACAAAACAAACAAAACAAAAACAAAAAGAAACAGCTTATCACCTGTGCTCAGGGGAAAAAGGATTTTTACACAAGCACTGGCCCAGGGTCAGTGGGAAACACAATCTGTTCCACCCCGAGCCAGGGTCCAGCAAGGTGGTAGCAGCAGAGGTTAGAGTGAAAGGCCTCAGGTGGAAGCAGTACTTAGTCTTGATGTCTGGTCTTCTCAATTAATATGTAAGTGCATGCACACACGCATGCACACACACACACTTTTTATGTACACACAACACAAAGATACAGATATACTCATAGTTCACATGCACAGACATATAATTGATACACACAAGCACACACGTTACTCAGTACTCAGTGCGGGACAGCCACATTCACGCCAGTGAAGGGTCTTCTGGTAGACATTGTGGTTGGTCCTCCAGCAGCCATTCTAGTTCTCCTCTCTCCCCACCCCATTGTGTATAGCAGCAGTGTGGTGTAAGCAAGGTTGAACCAACTTTCAGTTGCAGGGGTAGGTTTCAACTGGTCTACACCTACCCCCCCCCTTGGCACTCCCTTAGCCCCCATTGTTTAGAAGTGGCACACAGTCCCAGTGACCACTAGATGTGGCTGAGGAAGCAAACAGCCCTGGAAGCG